GAGTATGAGAAATGGAAGACTCTCACTACACTAAACAATCATCTTACACTCTGGACTTACTAGATGTAAAACGCTCCATGAAATTAATAGATCTACTTGTGAAAAAGCTGAGTTCAGGTCCAACACAGAATGTGTTCAGTATATGCAATTTGGAGCAATGATGATACAAGGAAAATATCAGTGTGTGTGTGCGCATGTGTGTGTGTGCGCGCGCACACACATACATACAAATATTGCATTGCTAATTATGTGGCGGAAAGATCAACATTAAAGCTGAAACTTCATGTTCCTCTCACTCTTTTGACTCACATGAAAAGAATCTGAAGTTACTTCTCAGCCATATAGTATGTAGGTAGGAGATTGATGATGACAAATTAGTGGAATTAAGGGATGCCATTTTAGTTGTAATGGAGTGTCCTTGCCTATGTCATAGTCTTAATATTCTCTGCAATTTTTAAAGGTAACATAAGAGAGCACTTAAAAATATTTGACATAAATAGGTCACATCTCTCTACAGTAGTGCTTATTGTTTGGGGTTAACAAAAAGAATAACCAGGACATTATGAAATACACATGATTTTATCTTTAAGAAAAAAAGAACTTCCATATTGGGTCAGACCAATGGTCCATCTAGTTCATTGTCCTGTCTGAGCAGCCAGTGCCAGGTGCTTTACAGGAAGCTGGAAGAAACCCTACAGTAGGCAGATGTAAAATAATGTGCACTCTAAGAAGGTCTCATCCTAACTCCTTATTAAGATTGCCTTAAACCTCAAAACATGAGGTTTATCTCCCTTCCAATACTGTTTTTTTAAGCATTAACCATGATAACTCTGAATAGTCCTGAAAAAGGACTAAATAAGCAACTTTTAAAATATCTTTGGTTTAACTCAGTTTTAGCTGCATGGCATATGTTCTTCAGAAAGTTATATTTGGAAACTCAGTGGTTTTCTGTAAAGGTTTGTTAAAACCTGAGGAATACAACATCACTTGAAACTTAATTTGCTACATGCTTTGCAATTAAACCTTATACACAATTAAATCTTATGTAAGATTTAAGATAAGACTATATAATGTATTTCTTATAAAGTTAAATAGACTTAATGTAATTCTATTCAGTGTTAAAATATTTCACCAAGTGGATGGCTTTCCTTTCTAAACAGATGGCTGCTGACATCAACAATAAGCAACTTACTTAGGTCCTCTCTCTCTGTCTCTCTCAGTATCCTAGATACCTGCTGATGCACTAGTTTTTAAAGCTGCTGAATCTAGAAACATGGTTATTTAAATATACTCAACATATGGAGTAGAGCAAATAGAAACATGAGCACACTACACTGACATTCAGAACCCTTTATATAGTTTTAAAAGTATAGTCATCTTGTCAATATTTTCTTTTATTAAAAATATTTTTCCTGGAACAAATACATTCACATCTATAACAGTGCAAATAGTTAAATTCTGTCCCCGGTTTTATCTCTGCCATCACACTCATATTATAGGAGTATGCCTGAAATGAGAATCTGGCTGCTCTGTGTATCAACTGACTAATTTGTTAGGCCAACAATAACTGTTGTATTCGTTTCAGAAGAATAGATCTGATTCTCATTTAGACTAAGACACTGTTACATTGTTTTGGCAATTCACACTTATAGCCCCTTTATACTAAGGTACTGTAAATCAGCATCAGGCCCAACGTGTTTCCAATAAAAAGTTTTATAATACAATTATCAAACACCAGCATGGACTGCAATTTTTTGCCCTTGAATTATTTTTGCTTTAAAAGTGAAGGCAGAAGATCAAAAAAAGTATGATGCGCAGGAGAAAATGTTCTCAGGCTGTAACTGTTTCCTTTAAAATCAGAATAATTAATGTATTCTTGAGTATGTATCATTTTTTCCTACTGGGATAATGGAAGCAAGGCTAACTTATTTTAAGAATGAAAAAAAAGCTACAAAAAAAAAAAAAAGAGTCTTA